AGGGCAGGAGGTTCGCAAGTTCAAAGCCAGCCTCTTCAACTTGGTGGGGGCAGAGAGAGAAGAGGGGAGGGGAGGGGAGGGGAGGGGGGATAGTAGAGGATAGGAAAGGCAGCAGAATACAACAGACACTAGTATGGCAATATGTAAATCAATGGATGTGTAACTGATGTGATTCTGCAATCTGTATATGGGGTAAAAATGGGAGCTCATAACCCACTTGAATCAAATTGTGAAATATGATATATCAAGAACTATGTAATGTTTTGAACAGCCAACAATAAAAAATTTAAAAAAAAAAAAACAAAACAAAGAGGAGCCTACAGCTGGGATATCAGGACAAAGTCCATACACTCCTACAAGAGAGGCAGAAGTGTCACATTAGAAATAAAAAGCCAGAGGACAGGTGGACTAGGAAACACTGCAAACAGTGCTCCTAGGTCTTGGATGGACAGTCCTCCAAGGCCTCTCCTCTAGGAGTGCTGTCAGACATACTTCAGATGTGGATGGGTGTATCAATAGAACAAACAGCTAGCCAGGAATATGATACATTCCAGGGCGGGGGAAGAGGGGGAACAAGCACAGTGGAGGAATCTGTCAAGGCACAGAGAATATCACAGACCTAGACCTAGGTGGGCCAGCACCCCAAAGAAGCCAGTACTTACTGCCAAGAAAATGTAGCAAGAAGACCAATCTTGCTGAATAGATGAGGAAGATCACCCCTCTTTTCCACAAGATAAGCAAGATACTAATCATTAAGAATTTCAATTCTATCTTTACCAAGACGTGAGTTCCCTATGTCCTATATATTGTCATCAGTTTTTTGTTCTTTTTCTTTTTTCTTTCTTTTTTTTTTAAGAAATGTAGCATTTGGGAAACAACAAATATCACCTCTTGTAGAATCAGTGTGACATATTTTTATAACATCATAAAAAATCTACCAATATGACAGAGAATCAAAAAATTCTGCTCCATTTGTGTACAATGAATCGAACAGCTTTCTACTGCCATGTGTAACTGATTAGAACTAATTAAAAAATAAATTGATTAATAAATTTAGAACTTTTTTAAAAAGGTCTACCAATATAACAAACTTTTCTAATGTCTCTAAGGGACCAATAACAACACTCCAGGGAAGAAATCATACCAGAGGGGATTCTTGCTAAAAAGGCATGCTATTCAAACGTGAAATGAAGTTTTCAAAAGTCGTCAAACCCCACAACTGGGAATACTCTCCATTGAATCTTGGAGTCTTAAGTTTTTCCTTTGTGCCTGAGTAGGAAAAATCTTTAAATTCTATCCTAACCCTGACCTTGTAGTCCAGGGTGGAAACCACCATTTTGCCCTAGCTGGTAATTTATTCTCTACCTTTTTGACTGATCAGAGTTAAGTGATCACATGATGGGGCAGTCTTTGAACCATGAGATCTGGAATCAGACTGAATTGATTTCAATCTCAGCTCCACTGCATGACCCTGAAACACTACTAAACTTCTCTGGGCCCCACCAGAAAATGTAAATCCCATAAACAGCCAATCTGGAGACCTATTCTCAGCCTCCAAAAGATAATCAATAAACAAAGGCTTTAGGTAGCAGGTTCTGCCCACCTGCTGGGACTCTAGCCAGTACAATTCCCAAGCCAGTCCTCTCAGCCTGCTCCAGTTCCAGCCCAGCTAGGGCACAGCTGCAATAATCGCTAGCTCTCCTGAGCCCCATGCATTGCTTGTGAATTTCAGAGAGATGCCATCTGGACCAGCAAAATATTTTCAGTTACACAATGAAAGCAGCAACTGGGTGAGCTGATACTGCCAAGATTCTTTTGTCTTCCCTATATATCAAAAATCAGAGACTCCTAAATCATGCAACACCCCAGCATTGTGTAGATGAGCTCAGGCTTTGTGTTTACTGTATTGGGAGACTGCACAGAATGCAGGAGGCTCCCATACTTACAGATTTGTGGTGCTAAAACAGGCCCCAACTTTCAAACCTGTTAGTTTTACCTGAGTAGGTTCTCACTGCTACCCCATTGGCACCAGAAGCCACTATACTTCTTTGGTCAAAATCCATGGATACAATGTGATTCCCCAGGTAGGACATTGCCACAGTCTGGCTGGGCACAATTCACGAGCCACTTGTCAAGCAGGAACGAACTTTATTTTTTGAACACACGCCGCACCACGCAAGCTCTCCAGGAATTCCCTGAGAGCCCAACTGCCACCACTGGCTCTTCCGGTGAGCACCTCAACTGGAACTCTTAGGTCCCGCTCTTAAGGCAGATTGGCTTGGTCGCGTGGGCAGAGCCAAATGAGTCCCCCAATGAGCAGCTCCGTGGTCTGAAAGGGCGGGGAAACAGCCCAATGAGCATTACTGCAGAGGAGCCAATCAGCTGGAAGTTTGCTGGGGTCCACTTCGGCTGTGGCTCTCAACAGGACATACCCTAGAGGACCTTTGTGATGGAGGCCCTAAGGGCCCAAAGCACCTTTTTTCTTCTTTCCAGGCTGGAGGCTTTTCACTGCCCATTTCAGTCTGTAGTCTTCAAGGCTCAGGCCAGGATCTCCATGCCACTCCTTACTTCTTAAGGCCTTCCCTGGAAAATACAGATATGTCTTCACTCCACTATTAGTTGTAGAGTGCTTTGCAGATTACAAATCACTCTCACATGAATTATCTCACCCCAATGAGATAGACTGAAAAATAATATATCTTGGGAGGAGATTTTAATGTGGTACCTATCTTCTAGATGAGAAGATTGAGGTTTAGAGAGGTAAAGTGACTTGCTCAGAGTCAAATATCCAGTAAACATTGGAGTCAGTGCTCAATCCCAGGTTTATAACATTTTCTGGGCCCCACCAGAAAATGTCCTGCTCCCCCTGTAGAGGATCAGCTATCCTTATCTGGATAGCTCATTTGGTTGTGTGCCTTTCTGCCCCCGCCCCCACACACACCTTTCCTTCACAGACAATGGATAAAATCTCACAGCTTAACAAAATCTAAAGTTCCTATATCAATAATCCTATAGTGAACCTGAATTGGTGATGCCAGGTTTGGAGGATGGGGCAGCAGGAAAGCAGGCACCATGGTCACAGCAGAGTCCCTCTGCCACCTGCTTTCCTTTCATCATGAGGGTAATATTCTATCTCATCTATCAGAATAACCACTGCATTTTAGGAAGAAAGCAGGAGGCAAGTGGCTAAAGAACCTGATAAAGACTCACTCAAAGAAGTCTGGAAGATAGGCTCCAAATATCCCACTTCTACTCATGCACAGAGTCGCACACGTAGCCACACTCTCCAAGATGTGGAGTCAATGTCTCCCAGGCTGCCAATGGAAGGGCTGGGCTGAGAGCCCCTGTTAACCAATTCCCAGGAAGGTTCAATAACAGGAGACAATTTTTACAGCCACATGTGAAAAATGCTGGGGTGATAAGAGAAAGGTGTTTGGCAAGGCATAGCATGAACCAAATATGTTCTCCAACCAGGTACCTTTTAGAGAAAGATGTGGGAACAAATAACCACTTGACTATGAGAATCGGGCATGTGGTTTCTGAGATGGGAAGTGGTAGTAGGAAGTGGAGAAAAGGGAAGCATGAAGTGACACTCAGCAGTTTCACTGAATCTTTGTTTCTGTCCCAATAAGGGCTAGTGGGAACAGATCCTTTGGGATAAAAGTAAGGTCAGTGCATTGGGGATGTTAACACAAGTGAACAATCAGATTAAGCCTTCACATAGTCCTCCTGCAAGTCAAGCACTACATCTACCAGGAGTTAATATTTCCCATTTGGGGCTGAGTGGTGATGGTAGCACAGCAATGTGAAGATACTTAATGCCACTGGAATTTTCACATAGAAGTGGTTAAGATAATGACTTTATTGTGTGTGTGTGTGTGTGTGTGTGTGTGTGTGTCTGTCTGTCTGTCTGTCATGGTTTAGATATGAGGTATCCCTCCAAAACTCCTGTGTTGATGCTGGAATATTCAGAGGTAAAATGATATCATAAGAGTTGTAACCTAATCAGTCCATCCTAATTTGAATGGACTGAGTGGTACCTACCTGTAGGCAGATGGAGCATGCCTGGAGGAGGTGGGTCATTGATGGTGTGCCCTGTAAGGGTGCATATTCCCTGCAGCTCATTCCCTTTTCTCTTTCTGATTCCTGGCCACATGAATGGAGAACAGCACTTTTCTACCACACCCTTCCATCATTATGTTCTGCCTCATCTTGGGCTCTGAGCAATGGAGTCAGTCTACCATGGACTGAGCCAAAAATCAACTTTTCCTATTCTAAGTTGCTCTTATTGAGTTTTTGTCATTGTGATGAAAAGCTAAAAAAAATATAAAGATATAGATGTATGTATAAATCTTCATCTATATCTAGCCATAATAAGATAGGATCTGTCAGGAGCTGCCCTGGATGCAGACACCTTTAAGTCCTGATGCACCAGGTTCTGAAGAATTATTGCCTTCAGGGTGGCATGGTAGTGTCAGGTTGCAGTAACTTGGGCATTATCCCAGCTCCAATAGCAAGGCGTGGCTCCAGGAGTAGGCGTCACCCACTGGGGTTGAGTTACACTCACCCATTCCTTTGTAATCCTACTCCTTTGCCCTTTTTGAGATAGAATGTTCCATGGAACCTCCCCTTGTGTGTTCCCTATATAAGAATAAAAAATTCCAGTGGCTCTCTTTCTTTCCAAAAACCCTTAAGATCGGAGATCCCTCATGGATTTTGAAAAAATACTTTTGTATATTTGCATGCTTTCTTTGTCATTTTCTTAAGTTATTGGAATATCAGATTTTGTGAACCCAGCATTAGGTTGCCAGCTAGGATAGATGGCGATAAGGATCTATGATGCTATCTGAGTTGTGGTAATCCCTAATGTGTCACAGGCACCAGGACAGCAAGTGTTGTGGGAAGTTCTCACCTATTTGCCTTTTCCCAGGCCTGTCTTGAGGACAAGGACCCTATTAAAAATGTGGTTCTTAGCATTTCTGTTCCTCCCTGCAATCCCTAGCATTCTTGGAGGCTCTCCTGAGTCAGAAACTGAAGTCTAGGCTATAGACTGTTTTTCAGCACTGTAGACCTTCCATCTGTCCCCTGGTCACCACTTGTCTCCCCACTCTCTCAGCTAGACTCCTGTTCCTGAAACTCCTCAGAATTAGAATTAAGTTGTTCTCATCTTTTCCTTGAGAAGATAATCCTTTTTGCTTCTCTCACCTCTTTAGCATCTGAGTACCCAGGAAAAGCTTTCCCTTTAAGCTCTCTTATTTCTGTGGGAAACTTTAATTGATCCTTCCCTACCCATTCTGTTTGCTTATTTTTTTTTTCCACAAATACTGTTAATATAGGCAGTGGCTGAGCCTCCACCTGTCAATTCACATGTCCTCACCCTCAGTGCCTACTCTCTAGCTTTGCTCACCGTGCTCCAGCAAACACAACCCAGTTTGATTCAGTTTGTCCCTGAGTCTAGCAGGATACAAGACAGGTCCCAACATACATGTCACTTCAATTTTCCCCAAACTAGACTCAATAACAGTCAAACATCAAAAGTAGAAGGTAAGAAAAAAATACAGTGATTTTGTTTCCAGGGATACTATGGTTATATACCAAGAAAGTCATGTATTGTCTCCCTTTTTCCTCAGAGACAGCCTCCCAGCATGTTTATCAAGACCTAGTTAGGTCCCTCAGGGTGTGGGTCCACCTAGAGAAGGAATTGAGTACTTGTGGATTTCTGTACTTAAGGTAGAATACTTCCAACAACCACCAGCTCTGAGAATACTTTCCCAATCTTGGGAAATTTAGCAGAAAGTCTGTACATTAAAACTAACATTCCTAGAACACATAAGCAATGGCAGACAATTCCAGATTCAGCTCAAGCACCACATGTGAAGTGATTAGTCACTACAAGCATCATCCCACACAGCTTCCAAATGTCACTTTATCAATGATATCATATCAACAACAGGGTGAGCAAGATGTGGCAGGGATGTTAGCAGCCTTAGATAGACATGGACACTTCACATGGTAGATCAACCTTGAAAAGACTCAGGAGTCTGCCATATTAAATTAGTGTTCAGTGATATGGTAGTCAGGAGCATGCCAGACGTTCTCTAGAAATAAGGGACAAATGATGATATGTCACACCTCCCACCACTAAGAACAAAGCACAAGGCCATGAAGGCCTATTTGTGTCTGGTATCAGGGAGTCAAGAGCTGTGGTAACCCCACTTACTATCTCTTCCCATGATCAGGAATTTATGCTTCCTGCCCCCACAACTTTGGGTTCTGTAGTTAGACCAGCACTGTCCAATATGGTAACCACTAGCCACATTTGACTATTTAAATCACGATAAAATACAACTACAAATTAAGTTCCTCAGTTACACTAGCCACATTTCAAATACTCAGTAGCCACATGGGTCTAGTGGTCCTTATTGAACGGTGTGGGCTAGGCACTCTGGTTTCCCAAATGGGAATGATTACACCAGGAGTCAGAGTAAGAGTTCCATTAACTACCAGGCATGGCTGACAAGTGAATTACAAGTCATGGGCACCTTGGGCTCTTCATATTATGGAACCCACAAGCATGAGAAAGAGTCATCCATCCTATCAGGAGTCATGGGCCCTAGTCATCAGGAGGAGGCAGGTATGTTCTCACATAATAGGAATAGAGGGATAGGTTTGGTAACCAGGTGATCCACTCAAAAATGTGTCTTGGTGATCCCCAATTTCCATGATAAATTGATAAGGGTATGTTCCATAACCTGGGGACAGGGGGACAAGGGGCTCAGAACCTTCAAGGATGAAGATCTGAGTAGCTGGCTGAGATGGAGGGGACTATATTGCAGAATTCCCTGTGGGACTGATTGAAATTTCTCTTTCAACTATATAACAACTCCACTGTTTTCCCAATTCTACTCCCTTTACCATGTTGTAATTTTCTAGATTAAATCCTGTTATACCATGTCAAATTGTAAAAGGAAACAATTGAGATGATGAAATATAAATCAGCCACACCCCTCTTCCAGAATGCCTTTGCCCAGGTAAGTCTGGGGACCTCTAGGTATGGAGGTGTGCCTCCTTGTGCGCTAAGGGTTGGGGTCCTTTCAGCTACTGTTTGGTGGTACTGAGTGTGCCAGATACCTGCCTGAAAGAGGGAAGCATATTCTGGAAAATTGTGGTCCAAGAAATGTGATTATCCACTTAAGGAATCTTGTGCCTTCAAGGACGCCTCACTTCATTGGGTGGAGGGTATCCTGGCCCTAACATGCTCAGGGCCTTGGCCAGCTCTCTCCTGGTAGGGGTATGGCTTGGTCCTATAGAATGCTACCCATGGGCAAGGGCCAGCCAACTAGCCATGCATGGTAGCCCTCCTCCACGAGCCCCTTCTTGGAGTTGCCTCCAAGCATATTGCTCCCTTGGGGTAATTGGGGACACTGTCTCATTGGAAGATACAAGCATCTGCTTGTTTGAGGGGCTGACTTCTGCCTTGTCTTGCCAGGAGGATGCAATCTCTGGCACCTGGGTGAGGCCCAAATCCCACTGTGTGGCTTTGAGATCTGCATGACTCAGCCACCAGGCTGTTGCTGAGGACCTGGGGAGGTTGCTTGGTTACCCTGGAGATGGCAGACACATTATACTGTGATGATGTTGACCTCTGCTTCTGCTCCCTAACAGCAAGCAGTGTGCGCCCCGAGCCGCGTGTCCTTCCTCACTGGGAGGAGGCCTGACACCACACGCCTGTATGACTTCAACTCCTACTGGAGGGTGCACGCAGGAAACTTCTCCACCATCCCCCAGTACTTCAAGGAGAATGGCTACCTAACCATGTCGGTTGGAAGTCTTTCACCCTGGTACTGCGTTCTTGAGTTCTCTTGTTCTGTGATGAGTGTGGGAATCCCCTGCTGGGAATGAGGATGTCTCTGCAGACACCTTTTCTGCCTGGATGATTACACTGCTGCCTTTCTAGAAAAACCACTTCTCAGCTTGGCTTCAGTTCTCAGTCAAAGTGAAAAGAGGGTAGAAAGAGTCTGGCTCCCTTTCAGAGGCTGGAGGTGGTGCTCTGGGGCCTCCTCTGGCTCCTCAGGTGGTGGGAAGGGCACTGGGTGGGGAGGTGACAGTGCTGGGTGTGAGTTCAGCTCTGGACTGATCCTCTGCCCTGTGAGGTCCCTGTCTGTGAAAGTATGGGTGGGGCATGCACATCTTGGGAATTTGTGAATAGTGCTGCTTGTAAACTTGCAGGGACAAACCTCCCAGGCAAATGGATGGGAGTTTGGGGGTGCCTACTTCCCACTTTTAGTGAATGATGTCAGGAATCTAAATTGCCAACTGTGTTTATGCCCAGGAGCCAGCAAGTCTAGGGATCAGAACATATACTTTATTAATTACCTAAGGTGGTTCTGCCTCTCTTTTAGCACAATTCTTGGCCTGCTCCCTGCTACCTTTTCCCATCCTAGGTCTCTAGGGCAGCTGCCAGAAACCTTCTGAGCCAATCTTCAAGGTCCTTGACTTCTTCTTCCTCTTGGTCTCAAGATAGACTTTTGGGTTGCTTTTGGGCATATGTTCTGCTTTCTCACGTATTCACCCTTACCTACAGCTGCCCAGACTAAAGCCCTACACAAGAGTGATGAATGTGTTCCTGCAGTCATGTAATCCACATCTTCACTGAGCATTTGCCATGTGTCAGGACCTATGCTAGACTCAGCAGCTACGTCAACATGGTGTCAGGTAACCCACCGTAGCCAGAAGAGACCTGTGATATCATAGTTCCTGTATTTGGGAATGCCACAGAGAACCAGCCTGATATACCTTCAGGGCTTCTGTGTATATCCCAGTCAGACTTCAAGGGGATAATTCCTGTGGTCCCTCTGTTGGGACCCCTCACTTTCCTGTCTCCAAGGGCTTCCTGTACCTCAACCTCTGAAGCCTGTACCAGATGGAGGCAACACTCCCTCTAAGCTGGTACCCCAGGATTCCACTGAAATCCCTCCCACCCAGTTACCAGGCCTCATGAGTCAAGGCTACCTTGATTTACTCCTAGAGAGTGAACATGTGAAGGTGCAGCACTTGCCCCCACCCAGTTCATGGGACTCATGGACTCTGGAAAGTACCTCTCACTGAGTTCCT